GTCACTCACCATTAGGCGTATGCATCACTCACCATTAGGCGTATGCGTCTCGCGCATGACCATGACGTGTACAGGAGTGTCAGGGTTGTGGCCAGGAGCCAGGAGCTGGACGACGCCCTGCACGAGGCCGCTGCTGTTGCAGGGCAGCACCGCGAGGTGGTCGCCGGGGCTGTAGTGCAGGATGGCGGCGCCTTCACGGCCGCGGATGTCAAATATTACTTGCTGTGTGTGCCGGCTGAGAAAAATAAATAATAAATTCGCCACGCATTTATGAAAAAATAGCAAACGCACAAAGCAAATGCGCATTTATTTTTTTAATAAAACAATTGTAAAGTGTACCGGCTGAAAAAGAAATAATAAATGCAGCAGGCATTTATGAAAAAATAGAAAATGCACCACGCAAAGGCGCATTTATTGTTTTTAAAAATAAAACAATTTTGAAGGTATAATAAAGTAATTGCAGGTTGATGCGACCGCAACAAAGATGGCACTACGTGAAAATAACCATACGAAAAAGTAAGAGGTATAATCTTGGAATTGATTAGTTATGGCGAAAATTTACGAAGTGATAATAACCATTAAAAAACTTTAAGAGGTCTAGTAGTCTATTAATTGATTCTAGTATTAATCTAATATAATTATTATTTACGGCAAAAGCTCACGCGACTGCAACGAACAATACACCAACTGGATATAACTTAAGATTTTTTATCAAGTAATTGTATGATTATTCGTTAATGCAAACGTTGGCACGGTCATTTTTTCAAACGCTAGTGCAAATAAATGTGCTAATACTGTAGAAGAGAGCCCGCTATTGTAAAAGCTAATCAGAGTATACAACTAGCAAATAACTCCTAAGTCATATCGTAACGTTACATGTATTCGGTCAATGTTCAAATCGCTAATTCAATTCTAATTGAACCTATTTGTTTTAATCGACTACGCAAGCTTGCCGAATAGATTGTAAATTGCTCGCATTGAAACCGTAGATTTGTCTTCGTTCCTGGCATTATTTGGCGCTCAAAATTCTTCAAAACTCCTTTTATTAAAAAAAGCTACCTACTGACGTACTTTGATTGATGGAGGTGCAGGTTTTTCGACTCCATCACACAGTCGGCACATATAGGCCTTTCTTGACGTGGGCTCGCTTGGCAATGTTTAGCGCTTAAAATTCTTCAAACACTCTTGTAAACAAAAAATAAATATATGGCAGAAGCACATAGACCTACTTGGACTCTTCGGGGTGCAGGTTTTTTGACTCGATCACATGCACGGTCTGCACGCCCTTTTTGACATGGGCTCGCTTGGCAATGTTTATCGCTTAAAATTCTTCAAACACTCCTTGTAAACAAAAACTAAATATATAATAGAAGCACATAGACCTACTTGGACTCTTCGGGGTGCAGGTTTTTGGACTCGATCACATGCACGGTCTGCACGCCCTTCTTGACGTGGGCTCGTGCGAGGCCGACCTGCCGCGGCGTTGCGTTGTCGCACTCGATGAGCTTCACGTCGAGGTTCTTGCGCCTGTCTGCCTTCAGCGCCGCCGTCGCGTCTAGAATGGCGCCTTCGTCGTCCAAGCAAAACGTCTCGCATCCCGTCTGCATTTTGTAATATTTCCCATTAATCATCATGTTGTTGTCATGATCAGACATATTTAAAATCATGTAATAATGTCACTAGATTGCTTGAATCGCAGATTCACTAGAAATTTAAAAGCGAAGAAAACTCCACAAAAATTCAGCATTTCTCTATTGAAAACGTTTCGGAGACCAGCTCCATCGTCAGTTCGATAAATCTATAACACAAATACAGTTAGAAAATTAATAAAGTTTGGAGTCGTAAGAAAAAAAAACAAAAAAACAGAAGTTAAAACCTAAATTTACAATTTTTAAAACCTTAATAAAAACCTAAAATAAATGAACTAGGGACGATCGTATGTGAGAAGGGAGGATATCTTTGTACCTAAAAAACGAACCTATTTTGAAATTGTTAACCAGTAAGATACGAAGATTAATGTCCGGAAAGTATTTAATAAACAAATCTTTTAATTCTCTTGACATAACTTCGGACGCATGGCCGAAGATGGCTTCGGACGCATGGCCGAAGATTTGTTTATGAAATACTTTCCGGACATTAATCTTCATATCTTACTGGTTAACAATTTCAAAATAGGTTCGTTTTTTAGGTACAAAGATATCCTCCCTTCTCACATGCGATCGTCCCTAGTTTATAAATTTAGTTGTGCACGATGTGGATCTGCGTACGTCGGAATGACGGCACGCAACCTTTACACTAGGGTCGCTGAGCATAAAGGGAGGAGTTATAGGACTGGGACGTTACTATCGCGCCCTCCTCATTCGGCTGTGCGCACTCACACCGAACAGTGCAACGTTCCGGTGTCCGACACTGACTTTAGGATTTTAGCTTATAGTTCTGGTGCTTCCGATCTGCGCATTTTGAAATCATTGTATATTTTTAAAGAGAAGCCTAGTTTAAATGCTGCCTACAGTTCTTATCCATTAGAAATTGTGAATAGATAGGTATTTCTTTATTATTCTGCCCTTTGCCTGTAAATTTAGGTTTTAACTTCTGTTGTTTTTGTTTTTTTTCTTATGACTCCAAACTTTATTAATTTTCTGACTGTATTTGTGTTCTAGATTTATCGAACTGACGATGGAGCTGGTCTCCGAAACGTTTTCAATAGAGAAATGCTGAATTTTTGTGGAGTTTTTTTCGCTTTTAAATTTCTATTTAAAATCATGCCATGTTCCGTCATGTTGTACAACATAAGTCGTGTTCCGCCATGTTGTACGTCATGTCGTCTTCCATTCAATAATTAAGAGGATTTTATTGAAAATTTGAACCACTTTGGCAGAACGCCCAGTATAGTTAGTCTTTATTCCTTCATATGAAGTATAAGTGATCATGATCTATGGTGAACATTCATAATAAATCCCATAATAAATCCATGTCGAGACGAAACCAAAAGCAGCCACATTCTGTTCAATGATAAATACATATGAAGTATTTAGAACCTTTTCGCGGTTAAAAAACGTTGTGCGGTATTTTATTGATGCATGGTCATTGTCTGACGCAGTTCGCACCTGCATCTGCCAATCACTGACAGCTTTTCCATCTTAACTCACAAATTAAAGACAAGATGACGAGAAATCGGCCGCTAAGAGTGCTTAGGCCACTAGGTGTACTCGAGGGCCTAGGACTTGTGCATAAATAAAGCAGCTTATTAGATGCATGCTCTTTAATGTCGAATCCATGAACAAAAAAGTGTAAACCAGTAAGGCTTTAGCGAAATCGATGATTATTTTTCTGAATATTAATAAAAGTTATTTTTGTAAATTTCTGCAATTAAATTACATTCCCCTACGTATTGTTTTATAATGTAGATATATAATGGCGAAATCACGCAATTTACTGCATGCTATACAGTAACAGAAACTTCTATTTAACCTTGAACACTTCTCCCGCCCAGAGGTTGAACTGCTGTTCTTGCCCCGCCAGTTCATCCCCACAGGTGAGGTTGAGGAGCCGCTCCCCACCCAGGTCCCCCAGCAGCTGGTCCACGTAGGTCCCGAACGCGCAGAAGTTGGGGTATGCGCTCGACCCCAATGCAAACACCGCATACCTGGGGCATGGGGAGGCATGACATGCACGAAATGCAAATAAAATTCAAACGAGAAACGTTTCATTCGTGATTTAATATTCACTATTCTTACTATTTTTGCAAATAGGAATAGGTATTGCGGTGTCAGAGTTGATTTGGCAATTAGGTCAGTCGCCGATTCTGAACATCAAAAATTCTCACAGCTTGTTGCGAGTCTCGCAACAAGCAACTCACTGCTTCACTTCCTCGTCCTATTTGACCAAGACTGTCGCATGTAGCTGGAGTCGAACACACAGCTCACTGCTATAACCTACACTATGACATATGTAGCAGGCATGTATGTGGCAAGCATGTAGCTATAACCTACACAGCTCACTGCTCTAACCTACCACTGAGACACCTACACGTGATGGTATTGGGCATGTCAGTATTTTATGATGATCCTAAGGCTTTGTTTGCCTTACTTGATGTTACTTGAGGGCATTATACGTGGTAGTCAATAATCAAATAGGGATAATATTTTGCTACCCATCCTTAATAGTAACTAAGCACTATCTGCCTCACCTGACGTTGCTCAAGGGCTCTACGTGATCACCTATGTATATTCTACCACATCATCAATAACTTAGCACTATCTACCTCACCTGACGTTGCTCAAGGGCACTACGCGATCACCTATGTATATTCTACCACATCTTCAATAACTTAGCACTATCTACCTCACCTGACGTTGCTCAAGGGCACTACGCGATCACCTATGTATATTCTACCACATCTTCAATAACTTGGCACTATCTACCTCACCTGACGTTGCTCAAGGGCTCTACGTGATCACCTATGTATATTCAACCACATCATCAATAACTTAGCACTATCTACCTCACCTGGCGTTGCTCAAGGGCTCTACGTGATCACCTATGTTCATTCTACCACATACATGACGTTGCTCAAGGGCTTGAAGTGATCACCTTATGTACATTCTACCACATATCATCAATAACTTAGCACTACTTGCCTCACCTGACGTTGCTCAAGGGCTTGACGTGATGGTCGTCGATGGAGGGACAAGATTTCTGCGAGGTGAGCACCCCGTTTGGGGACTTCGGGGTGCCGGCGTCGGTGACGCTGTTCATCCGCATGAACGACAGACTGCGGTTCAAGCTGTCCCGAGCAAAGCCACTTTAAAACTTTTGCAAATACGTTGAACACTGAGGACATTTTAGAATAAACGAAGCGTGATATCATGTATATGGGCTTAGTAGTATGATTAACAGACACACGAAGCCAATATTTTAATAATTCGATTAATAATAATCAATAATTTACAGTCTGAGGAATTCATTTATCATATGTACACTAATTTGTCCCGATACGTCTCCGGGATCAGTGGTTTGATTATGATTTCATGAAGCGCGACCTCAAATTTAACGTCATGTTTCACTGGTTTCAAGTACGTATAAAAAATAAATAAGCTCCAGTGTAATGTATGAATCAATTACAAAAATGTGAGATTAGAAATTATTAGCTTTAAAAATCATCCCGTAAAGGTCTGGGCAGCATAAGATGAGAATATGCTTTCACAGCTTCGATAATATTCTGCCGAAGTACAATAAATTATGGGGGAATGAAAGCATCGTAATTCATTTGGCTGGTCAGTAATGAAATTCATTAATAAATCACAAAGCCAACTCAAGGTCACGAACAAAGAGACAAGAAAAAATTTATTAATTTTTTGTCAGAATTTTCTGTAAATTTTACTAACTTGAAAGTCAGTCATTTATAAAAGCATCCTACAATGTGGCGGCTGACAAACCCAACAAGAATACTATCTAGAGGCGTTCTCGTCTGACAATCACGCGACGAAATTTGGTGGTCTGCTAGAGCTCAAAAGAAGGTTTCTGGACTCGATGCTTCAAATGCAATTCACAATTAAATGTATAGAAATCCGTAATTCTACCGTAAAATTGGTACCAGTAACACATTGTGTTTATAATTAAAAGAAAACGTCCGTCTGTATAAATGGTTCCATTAACAGAAATTTGAAGTTAGAATTTTTTCTGTTCTGGGTAGGGTGATCCCGCACGATGAATAAGAAACAATAAAAAATTTAAAGATAATACCACGGAAGGGCAACGTGTATTAGCGCAATAGCAATCAATAGCACCGCAGTAAGCATACTGTTCATTTGGTAAGCTAAGTATGAGAGCTATTTTAAAATTTGAGAAACCAGCTGTACAGTTAAAGCTTGAAGGTGAATTGAAATCAATCAAAGAAAGTATTGTGCTGCATGAAGCCGAGAATAATATTTATGCTCAGGCATAATTTAGGCCAGTATCAAAACAAAGCAGAAGCAACGAGTTTATAAGCTTCAGAAAATCTCAAGGAAAAATATTTTTTAAGCCCAAGAAGAGCTTTCACTGTCAAAAATTTATAAAAAAGAACAGCCGGAAATTAGCTATGCCTAATAGTTACACATCAAAATCTGCGACTAAAATTCTTAAATGTAATTAGCCATTGCATGGAATAAGACTCATTCGTCTAACATAGGATGGTTGCAACGCACTAATATGATTAATATGATTCGCTTAAGCATGCATGCTAAATGCACAGTGTACATTCTATGCATGCTAAATGCCCAGTGTACATTCTCAATTTAGCGCGCTGTCTCGGCCACACATTTCAAGGCGCACACAAAAAACGCTGACTGCGAACACGATCGTTAAGTTCATACCTGACACAAAAGTTGCGAGCACCAACGATCAGGTCCTTACAGTAACAGATCTGAGGCGGGATTCTCACAACTATTACGAGGAATTAAAAATCACAGCCCATCCTGGCCATGAGCTTGACTGAGAATGTAAACATATCAACATAAAGAAAAAATTGTGGTATTAATTGTTGAGATTCTCGCCCAGCTATATGGTCTATGACGTGCATATAAAAGCCTTAACACTCCATGCAAATTACGTCGAAACAACGCTGATTTCGTTGTTACAACGTTGATTACGAGTTGATTTAGTTGAACAACGCTGATTCGAGTTGATTTCGTTGATACAATGTTGATTATGAGTTGATTTCGTTGAAACAACGTTGATTCGAGTTGATTTCATTGATACAACGTTGATTATGAGTTGATTTCGTTAAAACATCGATTATTCAACATTAGAAGCCTGGTGGGTTGCTATGTACAACAATTAATTAGACGAAAACTCGCTCGCCACCAATTAACGAGTGCACGACATTACGCTACGTCTACAACAAGACAATCAACAATTTACACTGTGATGGAACTCAGGTGTGAATAATATAAAAAAACAGTGTATCTGAGAACCATGAAACAATTCCACCAGAAAACGAAAATTAAAAATTTAGCAGAATTAAATTTAAAAAAACTAGTTATATTTTTAACATAGTTTCCCAGTGAAAAATAATGTTAAGAAGGCATGGATCTTTAGTCACAAAATTTCAAGTTATAATCAGTGTACAATGTTTTACTACATGCGAATAATAACTTTCACGTAAAACAACCAATAATCAAAAACGCCATTGTGACTACTACTGCAAGGAACCAATAGTGAGGAAAACCTTTTCGGATTCAATATAATATAAAAAACATTTAAAGTTTGTAATCCGAGTGCTAGACAACGACAACACGAAAATCATGGGCGCTCATTTAGTAAATCTTCAACGTCAAGTTCACGGGCTCGGAAATTCGAATTTTGAAATTAATAATAATAAAAAATGTACACTAAAACAATCATATTCATGAACCCAAAATTTCGAGTGAAAATAAAACAAGTTATAGTTTATTGTAAAATTGTATTTTCTGCACAATTGATGTAGAGTTTCTGACTTCTTTGCTATAGCTTACGACCACAGCACTTCAACATACCATTGAAATGAAGGCTTGTCAGGCGAAGGGGAAAACAAAAATTAACATCAAACGTGCAGCGCAGAATATATTATTCACGCGATATGTTTCCGTGCCAGTTCTTGTGAAAATCAGTGATCGTTCTGGGCAAGATAACGTTTTTCGCTCGGGAGTGTAAAGCGCGTCTTTAAGCGGTGCATGTAATATGCGTCAGATATAAGCCTATGGATAGAGTGAAAATCGTCGGATTTAAGCCTATGCCTTATAGACTGAGGGAGAGAAACGTGCATTTAGTTCCGGCCTTAACGAAGATATGGTAATGCACGTCGTAACTCTTTATCATAACAAAATAGGGTGTATTACACTTACCACTCATTGCCTGCTTAAATTGATGTAACTGGTTTAAGTTGATTTATGTAATGAGGACAGTTAATCTTAAAAGATAGTTTATAAAAATGTGGGTAATTTTAAAAATAAAGTGAACTTAGCTTTTAGAGGACAAAAATGTTTAGTTGCTTCAGTGAGATTGTGAAAAATATGGGTAGAACAAAATTTTAAAGATGCCACACTCATAAAATGATTACTGCTGAATCATGAAGTCGTTCATAAAACAAAGTTAGAGCGCTAAAATTGAAATTAGTCTCGGTAGCAGTACGCGAATCAAAATCGATCAGCCAAGCTAACAATCATACTAGGTTCAACATTGCGCAAATTGATTTTTTATTTAAATATTCTAGAGTTTCTTACAAGACATTTTACTACAAACTGAAACCCGATCACAGCCTATAAATGCCTGGATGATATTGCTGCAAAAGTATACACAAGTTTTCACAGTATACAGGTTTTCGCAACACATACCATCACACAAACATTGAGCAATGAGCTAGGCGATCAAAAAACTGGCATCACACCAATAAAATTTCGTTCAATTAATTGTTTCAGAACACACGAGCGTCATGAGCAAAGTATTAACTAGGAAGATATTGATTAACGAGAATTGTTTCACTAAATTGATCTAAGGAGTTCGTTTTCAAGAATAAAAGCTTCATGAATAAAAAAACTATTCCTTGTCTGAAATATGTCTACGTAAATATCGTTCCGCGAAATGAATGATTTGTATCAATCAAGACTGCAACTGGGTTTTGAACGGTGATTACTGACGACAAATCTGGGCGGTCGTACTAGATACTGTACAGCGTGGTGTACAGAATGAAACGCCAGTTACGCATGAAAAACGCCAGTTACGCATGAAACACTCCAGTTACGCATGAAACACTCCAGTTACGTATGAAACACAAGCACCTATGTTGCAGAAAACATATGGCAAAAATCACATTATACGAGACATCACGATTTGTCGTGCACTACACCATTTGCCAACACTCTCCTCATTATGCGCATCTTAAACCGGGTAAATGAAAAATATTTTTATAAGCAAAACGTTAACCAAAGCTTTACTGGGGAAGTTTACTACAACGAAGTTGTCTGGGAATGCAAGGTTGTATTACAGTATTAGGTAATGGATGGCAGGAAGTTCTGAAACAATGTAATTACTTCTATAGAGGGGATTGCGAAGTAAAGTTAGCAAACGTACTTCTTTATGCATTGAATTCAGTCTCTGAGCTGCTTTCTCAACGATTTATTCGAGCATCTCGAATTACAGGAACGTTCGATGTTGAAATAAATGTCAACTAGCTGGGAGGTTGAATGAAACCTGTTAACGACCGGTTTATAAAAAGAATGCAGGTATATAGATTAACAAATCAAAAGCTCCACTGCTTTCAAAATTTCTGCTTCAAAAGCATGTGAACGATTGGTTATTTAGAAGAGAAGGCGCAATCACATCAGAGAAGGCAGCCTAAATCAAAATATAAAAAAAAAAAGAGGTAAAGAAGAAGCAGATAAATAAATACTGCCATGATTACAGCTTCAAATGAGAGCAAAGCCTGCTCTCGAATGAACAGTTCCAGCAGAAAACATTACAAGAGTAAAATATCGAAGAAAAGCGTGCGTCTTCAGCTTTATTTGCACTTACTAGATTAATGAAATATCGATAAACCAGGATTTTTTCAAATAAATAAAAGAAAAAATCAAATGGTCGCATAATTAGAAGATTATTTTACTCCCAGCTAACGGATTAGGAACAAATATTTAGGAAAAATATAACTCAGTACTCACTGCAGTGAGTGACAGAGAGCGCATTTTCTCGTCGACTAAAACGTGAAGTCACGGAAGGACGGACGGACGGACAGACAGACGGATGGATGGACGGACATGGCGAGCACAATAGTGCATTTTTTCAATAAATGAGTTAATGCGCTAAAAACACTTTTCAAAAGAATTTGTCCGACATCAGTGGTTCGAAAAAGTATATAATTAACACGGCTACAAAATTTAAAAGTAAAAATATTGCATTAATTTCAAATACTTCCCCATTAAAAATCAATTTAGTATCAATAAAGATTTCCGAAGGCATTATGATCATGAAGCTAGAACATTATTTGAAAATGTCTGTGTCTGAATCTACGCTTAGTTCGAAAGTGTGATGAATATCCCACTCTATGTCGGCGAACAAACTATCCCGCTACTGATATTTCAAACTGAAAATTCATGTAACGAAAAACACTTCCGAATAAATGCAGTCACACATAATTTTCAGTTGCCTGGAATCGAAGGCTTCAAATTCAAAATTGGCTTCGTGATCTGAACAAAAGATATTTGTCATGCATGGTGAATTTTTTATAAACAGACGCGGTCCTCATGGGTGAGTAAATAAAATAATTATTTCAAAATAAATATCGCCAAAAATATACTGATAAAAAATTAAATTTTTGTTAATTTTCATAATACAGAAAAACTATTGAGCTGTTGACTGTGAATGATGCGGTCACACATAAATTAAATATTTTTAAGCATGAGAACAAATTTATTATGTTTTAATTGTATAGAATTTTAAACATATTAAAGTCAAATCTAATTCGAAATAACCTGCCTCTTTCAAAGGCGTACTAACAAAAAAATGTCAAGTTACATTTTGAATCGCATGAAAAGTGCTCTAACTATTTTCTCTCTTGCATTGAAGACAGGAATTGTTTCATTTCAAGACCTTTCATGCCTTCATTGCTTACTTTACAAGTCATTAAAAGCTACAGGTTAGACGTACGTAACTCGAGTTTACAGAGCAATGAAGAACCGCAAAGCTAACAACCCTGTGTACTTACTGAGCCATGATTAAACGAGCATGCCTGTGTACTTGGTATGCAGTAAGTGATGTTATAATATAATAAGATGGGGAAAGGCTTGTAGCTGAATATGTTTTAAAAATTTCTCTATTCCATATACTTCCTTATTGTTATCAGTGCAAGTTTTATACGAATTGGCAAGCAAAGAAGCTCAAGACGCACGCTTGGACATGAAGAAATCGGTAAACATTCAAAGAATCGACAGCACAAGTTAAGAACATTGTAGAAATACATAGCAAATAAAAACATTTAAATAAATTTGTGGAGCGAAACGCGATATAAAAATGCATAAAGAATTATTCTTGACACGCACGGACAAGAAAAACAGTACAGAATAATTTTCACGCACACACAAATGTGAAAGAAGGAAAATATGAAAATATTCATTAAGGTTAATATTTAGTTAGTGTCAACATATTTTACCCATTTGCAGTAGAATTTCCCTAATTCTCCACTTCACCACAATTTCGATTTGTCAAGAAGCCTATATATAAATATCGAAGCTATATATACCAGTAAAATGATAACCATTAGTGGATAAATTATGAATGAAAAATATCGAAAATCTTCTGAGGTTTTTGCTGACGATTAATGGAAGAACAAATCATTAGTAGCACATGCATAACTTACGCTATAGGCGAGAATGAATTTTAAAGTTGTCTTGTGTAAAGTAGATAAATGCATCATTGTTTTATGCGTTTTGGTTTTCAAACGAAGTTTATTAATTATTGGGTCTGAAAATTTTAGAAAATGTTGAGGAACGTACAAATAAAATTTTGCACTAAGAAGCAATGAAATTGTGATAAAAAAGAAAATAATAATAATTTCTAGACGTGCCTGAGATTTAAGAAGAAAATTGGAAAGCATTTGGAAAAATTAATTGGAAATTCATGCGCGCTTTGGTGATTAAAATAACAAATGGAGTTGAATTCTTACACGAAATAGCATTTTAATTTAACCGGGAGCACCAAGACTTATGGTCCAAGAATATAAAGAGAACAGAATTTTTTTATTACTTTTCATGATTTGACATCTAGGAACACGAGACGTGCCCTCAGGTACAGTAGGATTGCGATGTACCACAACATCGCTATGTCGTCAGTAGGCTTTGAATGACGAGTCGATTAGACATGCATTAACATCATCGAGATAAAACTCTGTCCGTTTAATGGAAATGAACTAGTCTATTAAGAAGGCTCTGGTTAATGACAGGAGGTCATCAGATTTGATAAATACGCATGAATCGACTAAAAAGTTTAATTCGAATAAAAAACCTGAAAAGTTCCAAACAAAAAATTTTTGATTAGGAAAAGGTTGTTCGGCGCAAAATGTTTGGGCTCTAAGTGATATCGAAGATAAAGTTTGCCTATAAGGTTCGCCAGTGCGGATGAAGTTTTCCTTCATACAGAAATATACAGCACTCTGGTAAGCCCATTTTTAACCAAGAGTTTAGTAGTCCCCAGATGCCAAACCGATCTCAGATGCTATTTTTTTGGTCAGCAATAAAACTATTATCAAGCAAAGAGCAATGAAAATAAGAAGCTTAGAATAATCGGATTTCAGAAAAGTTTTCTCACCGAGGAGTGTCGTCCTGCTCTTCAGAAGCGATGCTCCGCTTCATGTCGTACAGACTCTTCGCGAACTTCTGCAATCGTCATGAAAATATTAAATAATCAGTGGAGTTGAATTGAGAAAGGCTGTAGGACTCAGAAAACCATATTCAAAACGGCATTCGGACATCAAATGAACATTAATGTGAGATTATTTAGATTTTAGATTATTTATTTATAGAATCGTGGTATTAGTTATCACCGTATTAATTATCTTTGCATTGATTATCTTTGTGGTAATTGTCTTTTTATTTGTTATCTTTGCATTAATTGTATTTGTATTTGTTATCTTTGTATTAATTTCTTTGTATTTGTTTTTTTTTGTATTAGTTATCTCTGTATTAATTTCTTTGTATTAGTTATCTTTGTATTTATTATCTTTGTATTATTTCTTTGTATATCTTTTTTGTATTAGTTATCTTTGTATTAATTTCTTTTTATATGTTTTTTATTACTTATCCTTGTATTGATTTCTTTGAATTAATCATCTTTGTATTGATCATCTGTGTACTATATATAGAGGTTCACTACTGATCGTCCGTACTACTGCCCACCTCGCCGTTCTCAGGCGGGTCGCCGTTGCCGAACGTAGAGGTGACGACGAGGACGAGGGTCTCGTGCTCGATGTTGATGAGGTAAATGTAGCATGGATACCAAACTACAGGCTTCTGTAGCTTAATCCACTCAAGGATGCTAGCAGCAACTTGTAGCGCACCTCTACGTACAATGTTAGGAGGGTAACTGAGCTCAGATGCCAGATACACCAAGATATGTAGTCTTGCCGCTGTAATTTTCTAAGGTCTATTTAGTGAAGGAACTCCACCCCCCGCCCCTCATTAAAGCCCGGCCATCTGCGTCAATATTGCCGTACATGGATCGCAGTGGTATCGTTGGAAAGCTCAGAATGTCAGCTTTAAGATGAAACTAAGCATGTAACTGCAGCACAACTCAAGTAGAAACTATATTCAAAGATTTCAGCAGCTAATTACTTTATATATAATTACTTAAAGAACTCTCTCACCCGCTTCCCTTTAAAGAGACGTCATGACCTAAATATTGGCGTACAGCAATGGCAGTGGTACCATTGGAAAGAGCAGAATTCCAGCTTTCAGATGAGCACAAAAACCGAAAAACGCCAAAATTGAAAATTTTAGGGTAGTGGGTCCCCTTAATATTTTGAGAAATGCATAGTACGATTTAATAATTAATTAAACAAACGTCTAGTGAAACCTGCTCCAAGTAAGTCATAAACCCAAAACGTATTTTAATTTATTCAATTTACAATGGAATCCAACGGTAATAAATTTAACACAAACCTAAATGTTTCCGGGTGCTAATGCCCCGTATTTCAAATTGATTATACTCGCCTCAAGCTGATTATAACGCGTGACATCGCCGAGATCGCGAGCGCCGATTTCTGTCGCCATGTACCAGCCGTTGAAAGGCGCCGCGGGGAACTGCAGGCCACCGCAGTCGAACAGCATATTGGCAACCGCGGGCAGCGCGTACCACTGCAAACCAAGCTCGGGGAACCAGTCGAAGCTGAGGGGAATGTGGGTTTAGGGGAACATAAGTGAGGGAAGGAAGAGGTTAACAACACATTAGACATGGTGTACCACTGCAAGCCAAGCTCGGGGAACCAGTCAAAGCTGAGGGGAATGAGGGTTTAGGGGAACATAAGTGAGGGAAGGAAGAGGTACAACACATTAGACACGGTGTACCACTGCAAGCCAAGCTCGGGGAACCAGTTGAAGCTGAGGGGAATGAGGGTTTAGGGGAACATAAGTGAGGGAAAGAAGAGGTTAACAACACAGACACGGTGTACAACTGCAAACCAAGCTCGGGGAACCAGTCGAAGCTGAGGGGAATGAGGGTTCAGGGGAACATAAGTGAGAGAAAGAAGAGGTGAACAACACATTAGACACGGTGTACAACTGCAAGCCAAGCTCGGGAACCAGTCGAAGCTGAGGGGAATGAGGGTTCAGGGGAACATAAGTGAGAGAAGGAAGAAGAGAACAACACATTAGACACGGTGTACAACTGCAAGCCAAGCTCGGGGAACCAGTTGAAGCTGAGGGGAATGAGGGTTTAGGCTTTAGGGGAACATAAGTGAGGGAAAGAAGAGGTGAACAACACATTTGACACGGTGTACCACTGCAAGCCAAACTCGGAGAACCAATCGAAGCTGAGGGGAATGAAGGTTGAAGAATATCAGTGAGCTGTAATCGCAAGTAAATATAGGTAAAAGGCCATGGCTGGGTCTAAGGCTCTACAAGCGAAATGCATTTGACGCAACAAATAGTAAGCGTATCTGAGGCTGCAGCTCGAGCTGTATTTGATTGAAATTCTGCTCTACTGAAAGATACAGGACGAGAAACGATACACGTGTTTTGAACTAGCAAGGACTCATCACGGCTGTGTCAGTTCAGATAACAAGCCAAATTAAAATTTGAATGCAGTTTATCTAATTGAAAAAAGTCCGAAATTGCATCAATAAGCACCAGCAAAACAAGTGTAGAAGAACGATGACAAATTGAGCTTCAAGCAAGTTCAAACACGAAAAAAATCGACGGTCTACGCAAGATCCTGATATTCAGACAGCTCTAACAGACTAGGCAGATCACAAATGATAGTTTCTCTTTAATTATTATCTGAAATACGGCGCGGTAGTGAAAAATCTACGGCAGGTACACATCAGGTCCCAGGAACTTTCTATTTTATAATTTAGATTTCAAGGAGATGCTCATGTCTGCTCAAGAAATAGCCAATTTTTATTTATACGTCGGGCCAGCTGCATACCATCCAGCAAAATTTGCCGACATCGAGCTAACTGGTTAAATAAATTATTCAATATGAAGCACAGTGATAGAGATATTACCTGGAACCTTTAGTTAAGTGAGAGTGGTTCATGTTCCCAGGCTTATTTATAGTTGTTCTTGTGCCCAGGCTCTAATAATAGCATTTACGACGGTCTACGTATCTGTGGTCAATTGGTTAACAAATAAAAATTAAATCAAACAAAAGTACACATATTCGGAAATTCTGTACTTGTTAGATAATTTTGGTTGATTAAAATTACTGTAAAAATCACGATGTGAAGCAAATAAACACATTAATCGCTAACATCTCGTAGAACAAATTCTCATTTCTCACTTTAGTTCAACGAGTTTAAAGTGAAGAAATACATTTCTATGCAAATAACTAGCATAAAATAGGAAATTGTATCAATATTAAATAATGTGCGCAAATTTGAAGTACAAATTCTTTCGAGTGAAACTCAACGGCAATACTTGAAACCCTCTTAAATATTCTTCAAAATTATTCTTAAAATTAGATTAGAAGCATAATTCTGAAAAAGAGTAAATTTCGTTTCCCTGCAGATCGTCCACAGAAGTTGTCAATTCCGAATACATTCTGGATCAAAAATCTCCCCTCGCCACGAGGGTGCAAGGAAATTTAAAGAAGTTAATACACCGGCCAACGAATTCTAGAATTCGCGCAGAATTCTAGCGACAGCGGGAGGGCAAATTGCAGCCGAAACATCCTGAGAACTAAGCTGCGCCGAAGACAAGATTGCGGAGGTTTAAGAAAACTTAAGGCATATTTGCTGAGAACTTGCCTAGAGATCGCAGGCTGTTTGAATGTCATGAACAGACTTCGCTGCAATCACGGACTCGAATATCATCAACGCATCATAACTTTAGGGAGCTCAGTGATAGCTCGTCTAAAATCTACGTTGAGCTGTACATATTTTATTAACGGAAGCATGTTACATGGAAGCGGAACATTCAGGGCTGTAAAGGTTTCGAATTGAAGTGTTGATTTGTTTGATTATGAAAATTTATACGAGTTCTTTTTATAATCAACTCCATAATTAAAAAATTAGAGGAAAAAGAAGAAATGCTAACACTGACAATGAAGGATAATTACGTAATTGTACAGAAAAAATGGCACCATACGATACATACAATAGTAAAATAGAATGAAAACTAGCAAATAGCTGGTAAGGAATTAAAGTATTAAAGGGTTCAACTATAATAAAACGAAAAATCTATAATTTGTCTTGTGAATTTTAATTCAACGACATAGTTTATATACGACAGTTTATATACTTGTTCTGAACACTTCAACTTTTCAATTGCTCAAAGAACAAAGAAATAAAGCTTTCTCGGATTTGAAGTTAACTAATTGCATAAAAATGTGATGAAAATTTATTTTTATGAGAAGCAAAAGGTTATAATAAAATTCCTCATGAACAATGCGTAGAATAGTGGTTAACTCACTTGGGATGAGTTAATTTGATTTCGTAGACGAGGTCGGCCGGCAAATCAAACCACTCAGGATCGTGGCCATTGGCTGACAGCACCAGAGGCAGGACGTCGAACTGAGACCGCGTCTGCTTCTTCCAGCCCAACTGCAGGCAGACCTGCAACACAAAATAATTTTGCATTTTCATGAATTTAGCTTTTTTAGTAATCTAGGTTTTTGCAAAGACATCTCGCCAACAGCGCGACATCTACAAGTAATTTAGCGGGTATTGTGGAATTTGTTTTGTGAAGTATAGGAAATGATGCAAAAACATTTGTAATCGCAAATAGCGCGACAGATGCAAGTAATTTTGCCAGTATATCGAGTTTTTTAAAGCTAATTATAGAAAATTTTGCAAAAATATCCGTAATTGCAAATAGCGTGACAGATATAAGTGATCTTGCGCGTATAGTGAGCTACATTACGAGGAATTTACTTAGTACTGAAAAAATCTGTAATACACATGCTGTCAGGACTACAGATATATCCGTTAAATTGAAACATGTATCAGAAAGATGTAGCGGCAGCGCAAAACACAAATATTTTATTATGAAAAACGAAAAAAATTGCACTGAATCCGCAGTTGCACGTTTGCTACTGTATGAGAGCCAATAAATTGTATGGCTCGGCGCAGGCCAGCAACAGAAAGTTGAGCGTTATATATCGGTTAAAATTTTCTGGCGGGCAATACTTAGGCAATTTGATCGAATATAAATTCAAGGCACGCGCGCCAAGAGGCCTCTAGATGTCGCAGCAGTTCAAACTCAGCGTAGGGGCGGCAGAAATTTAGCACTAATACGTTGCTCAACATTAATATCTAACCTACAAATTCCAATTTCTGAGACATTTTCGATTCAAGCAAATTTGAAGTTTATTGAACACGTAATAAAATTAGAAACGTTCCACTAACCTAAGGAATTCAACAAAACTAAATAAAACACTTTACCTGAGACATTCAGAGCTGAATTAAAGAGCGTGTTACAACAGTGAAAATTTTTTCAAGTTATTAAACAATCGCCTACAAGATGGAGACAGGACACGTACTTTACCAACAGCTTAATTACTTATTACCAACAGCTTAATTACTTATTACTAACAGCCTAATTATTTATTACCAACAGCCTAATTACTTATTACCAACAGCTTAATTACTTATTACCAACAACTTAATTACTTATTACCAACAGCTACTTTTTACCAACAGCAGAAATGGATGCTCATGGCCCAAATAATCAATAATGACTAATTTTTATATTAGTGCCGGCAGCAAAGTTAGAATAGAATAGAATAGAATAGAAATGTCGGCACTGAAGAAATAGGCCCATGGCCTGTTGCCGATTCTTGAACTTTGTCATGTCATGTGGTTTAGCGAAATGGATTCGTGTTCACTCTGAAATCAAAGATTTCACTCGACTTCGAGAAAAACGCACCACTGATATCCCTGCCTTCGTAAACTATATATCGGGAAGATAGATTAAAATTTTTTTGTCATTTATCTCAATCATCTTCGTCAAAATCAGTAACCCCCCGGTTAGGCTAACGCTAATAGAGCAAATTGACTTGGATAAACGAGTTATCACATTTCTACTTTTCTCGATTACTTGCACCGTAAAACTTGACGTCGACAAGGTAGCAAAACCTCCGACAGACGGAGCCCTCGCTCCCTCACCTCAGTGAACTCGACGTTGAGAGGGTCGCCCAAGACGCTGTCGTCCGCATTCTTGTACCCTGCGTAGCTGATCAGTTGGTTGTTCCAGATGCGGAAGTCGTGCTTGCCATCCGTGCGAGGCGGAAAGATGGTTATGGCCGACCTGGTTACGAAGGAGAAAAACAAGTGACGATGTAAGTGACGATGTGTTATGGCCGACCTGGTTACGAAGGAGAACAACAAGTGACGATGTAAGTGACGATGTGTTATGGCCGACCTGGTTACGAAGGAGAAAAACAAGTGACGATGCGGTATTGATAAAGCATGATGGTCACAAAAAAACGGGAAAAACGTAATGTAAACAAATACATTAAACGTGATGTAACAAACGCGTGTCGTGATAACACGAATGCGTAGAATGATGACACAAACATGTGACGTATTGTAAAAAACAGTGACGTAATGTTTCGGACATGTCAAGCGATGTCACTAACATACTACGCGAGATATATGTCATCAAGAGACTATATAGTAGAGCCATTTAAAAGTGAAAATTCGTGAGTCATTTAAAAATTTTCACTTTAGAAATTTTAAAAGTGAGCCATTTAAAAGTGAAAATAAAATCACGTAGTGTTTGAGTTTCGTGGGCAAATTTTTGAGCAGTTGCAAGAGCTCATGCCACGCGTTACTGCGCTGATTAACTCAGTTTTGAAGCCATTAAAAAGGAGAGAACCATAACAAATGGAAGGACGTTTCAGAAATGCAAAAGCAACTGACCGTGACGAGCAAACGCAACCAGAGAAAAATGCATCAAAAAATTCCACCGCTGCGAATTGATGTCTTAGTTCTACCCGAGCACAAGGTGAAAAATCTAATTTCAATCAACAATTGATATATTGAGGAAGGCCACAGAGGGAACGCTGTGTTTAACCTTTGAAGAAACACGAGTTTATTCTCAGTTCTAGTATGAGAATACGGCGAAATGAACATTGACTCAAATAAAAAAAAATTATCTCGATTCTCTTATATCATCGCAGAGAATATATGAGAAGAAATACATTATTTAAGCAATGAAAAGTCAACAGTAGGATACGTAATAATTGCAAATTCCAGAACACCAGAATTCAGTCGATGTGGCAATTATACGGAGCATGTTTTTTTACATGTCGTTAGGCAAAATCTGTGACTTGTAGAGATTTTATATTTTTTCGTTGCGACTCTCACGAACATTAAATTTGTTCGCTGTGTTCGTGTGTAAATAAAGTCGAGCCGAATGAAGAGAAATGTCCGATGTACGTCTCGAAATATATTTCCTCACATATTGTGCATATTGGGCATTTTCGCATATGAGCGCGAATAATGTGCAGATCTATACAATAAAAACACGCAATTTCTAACATTTTGCATGAACGCCAGGCCAATAAATGTTAAGTTGCGGACGACTTTGTTTTGTGTCTTCGAATGCGTCTGCGGGAACGTAAAGAAAGACTCGCCTGATGTTGCCTTTATTCGTAGCGTATTTGATGTGCGTGCAGATAAGCTCACCTGATGTTGCCTTTATTCGTAGCGTATTTGATGTGCGTGCAGATAGACTCAAACATGCCACTGGCCGAAGTCACATAGCGGCAATCAAACACCTGAAGTATATTTAAAAGTTATATTTTAGGTAGGCATAATAGCAGGAACACATCATGCAATATTATAAAGGTAATAACAAATCCAGAGAAGGCGAACTGCCATAAAAAAATTATCATCCGAACGATTAAAGGCAATTATGAAAACTTCATCATTGCATATTCTTCTGCAACAGTTTTGAAAATAATAAAATATCAAATGAAATCAAATAAAAACGAGAAAATAAGTCAATATTTTGTACATTTTAACGCAGTATGTCTACTGCAATCCAAACGAATATTTTAATTACTTTCAACAAGCTTTTGATAAAAAATATAATGACATAGGAGATCGTCACGCTACTGTTGGTCGAATCTCGTCAAAAAGTCATCTAATATTTTCAATATGGCATTAATTCCGTAATGAATATGGGCTACATACGAGTTCAATTATGAACTTTCAATTCACGTACTGATTTTCTCATAATAATCACAGCACGCACAAGAATAAGCGTCATATTCTGAGCCTAATGCCTAAAAATATAACTCATGCAGTACTCACTGCAGTGAGTGACAGAGCGCGCATTTTCTCGTCGACGAAAATTTGAGGTCACGGACGGACGGACGGACGGACAGACAGACAGGCAGACAGATAGACGGACATGGCGAGCACAATAGTGCATTTTTTTCATAAATGAGAAAATGCGCAAAAAATGATGGGTCGAATAGTCCAAATAGCAAAGCCACTTTCTTGCCCACGCCACGAGCAGAGATCAGACATAGCACTGATAGTAATATAGCTGTTTCAGTGTTTATTAGGCCGTAGGCCTGTTGCTGATTCTTCAATGCCATTCAAGCTGAAGTACCACGAGCCAAATGACGTCGAAACATCTTTGATTCAACATGAGATGTCTGGTGAAGTAGCACTCCCAGCTCCTCTACAGACCACAACCCCCTACCCCTCTCACCCTTCTACAGACCTCCAACATTCTCTCTCCATCCAGCCCTTCTACAGACCAAAACATCCTACCCCTCTCACCCTTCTACAGACCCCCAACATTCTCTCTCCTTCCAGTCCCCCTACAGACCAAAACACCCTATCCCTCTCCCCCTTCTACAGACCCCCAACATTCTCTCTCCCTCCAGCCCACTTACAGACCAAAACACCCTACCCCTCTCCCCCTTCTACAGACCCCCAACATTCTCTCTCCCTCCAGCCCACTTACAGACCAAAACACCCTACCCCTCNTTTGCTCCACTGTATGCGGCCGATGCAGCGGGCAGCATTACGCCAGCCCAGCTTAGCGCCGTACACGAGCTCGGTGGCCGTGAGGTCATACACGCCACCGCTGCGCTCGATCTGCTCGACCACCTCCACCCAGCGCGCCTTGTGCTGCTCGCTCTCGAACCTGCGGGTTATGGAGATGAGTTTATTGTATACTACAGAACGTTATTGTGTAACATGACAAGACGACATTATTGTACACCGTAGAACGTTATGATGTAACATGACAAGACGACATTATTGTTCACCGTAGAGCGTTATGATGTATAGAACGTTATTATGTAACATGGCAACATTATTGTACACTATAGAACGTTATTATGTAACATGACAACATTATTGTACACAACAGAAAGTTATTATGTAACATGACAAGCCGACATTATTACGCACCATACAACCCTATGATCAAATATGACATGACAAGGTTATTACTTAACCTGGAACATTATTATGTAACACGACATGACAATTTTAAATAGGTGGAGATGACAGTTTCAGCGCTGGTCTACAAAGAATTTTTGATCTATATATTATGAATTTCCACATAATATATATTGTTATTTAGCATGATAACCTCAAGAATATAAGGGTTTAGCAAACCTTTGCTTTGGCATACTTTAGTAGCTACCGTTAGATCCGCACACAGCACTATTTTTACAATTCTTCACAGTGCAACATAATAATTCCAAACCGAGCAAGATTTTATGAATTCTAATCCCTGCACTATAATGACTATATTAATGATACTGGTTATGTGTTTCCGGTCATGAGAAGAATGTATTTCATAGGCAAGATAGTCTACCCGTAGGTTGAATCTACCGCAACATCTATTGCAAGTTCAGGGTCAACACTTGGTATATAGGACAAGCTTCGAAAATATTCCGTGGTTAGCTCGCCGCACTTTTATGGATAACTTGGAAAATCTTACACGTCATACACATTTGGAAAACCCTCAGGAAAACACATTGGGTTAACCACTCACGCTTGATGTTTTTGGTTGCGGTAAAAGACAATTTCCAGAATTTTCCTAAAAAATTTGCAATAATACACGAGCTTCTCAGTCATTAATGCAATTGATGTCTACATAAATAATACACTCAAACAAACGAATTTCATCATTTTTGAAAACGCTCCGATTATCGAAAATGTAGCCGTATTTAAATTTCCAATGGTAACGACTAGAAATAGATATCGAAGTGAATTACTGATTTTTAGGACCTGAATAATCTTTTTACTTCCTCATAATCTGCAGTTAAAATACAAAATGAAAACTAAAATTGAAAGAAGCTGAAATTTTAAAATTAATTTCTTAGCCTATTATTTGTGCGCGATTAAACATGCACAACGAAAACGTCGAATAAGCAACGCTCCAGGAGGCTTATTAATCATTGAATAAATTATTATCCTCAACTGTTAAACGTACGGCAATGTTTTATAATTTCTCACACGGGTTGGTGATCATACTAATTCATGTTCTACGAATACAAGTAACAATAAAATAATTGAATAATTATTCGTTATATACGTGAGTAATACATCCTAAAAAATATAACTCAGTACTCACTGCAGTGAGTGACAGAGAGAGCATTTTCTCATCGACGAAAACGCGAAGTCACGGACGGACGGACAGACGGACGGACATGACGAGCAAAATAGCGCCTTTTTTCATGAATGAGAAAATGCGCTAAAAATGGGCAAGCCCCAATGTAATCGCGGAATTTTGGTAATAACGTGAAAAAAAGTTTCCCGGTTTTAGGAACACAATTTCAAGATGAAATTTTCAACGCTCCCAGAAAACATTACTGCATGGACCCGCGCCATGAAAATTTCCTACCTATAAGTTCAGCTACGGCAAATAAATCAAGTATATTTATAAAAATTCGTGGGGCTTGGGTTCCAAGCGTCGGTTCTCTTGTTTTGGGAGCAAGAAACGACATTTTTGAGCCTCAAAATAGGAAAAATGGATGGCCGAACTAGTCGCTGAATGAGCTGCATCATCACCTATGATGGATTGCCTTAGCGGGAGCGGCAACGACAGCAGAAGTATCGAGAGGCATCAGGTGGAGTATAAGATTAATATGGCAGCTGATGAAGAAAGTGCTGCAGCATGAGAATGACCAGCGAGAAAAGATAGAGGAGCTGCAATAGCAGGAGTGAGTTTAAATTAGAGGCAACAACATGATAAAATAAATTTATTTGCATTAAAATTATTGAATTCTCTCTACTATTCACGCAATCAATGGTCGACCTTTTGGACATAAAATCTACCTCCAGTCTTAATAACAAAATCTTTCAGCTCACGTACATCTAGAGATCTTACTTCGTGTCAGTGATAAGTTTCAGTGCGAGAGGCTATAATTGAGTTGCTCACTGAGAACCATTAGTGTCATACGAGTTGCTGATAAGTGTTGTGCGCCATACGACCAATGGCCGGCCACCAATAACCTGCCCATAACTTCCTGAGCAATTAATAACAAATAATAATAATATCAAATAAAAGTAATTTACCCTAAGTCACCGCCGAGAAAAAAACCTTGAATGAGGCGAGAGAGTCCGAATTACCGCTCGTTTACTATACATGCTTCCCCGCATCGCAGTGCCGGAGGAAATCCCAACCAAAGACAATGTTTTCTCGTCTCGGAATGATCGTAGCGCCATATTTACAACTCATTACTCACTGCAGTGAGTGACAGAGAGCGCATTTTATCGTGGACGAAAACGTGAAGTCACGGACGGACAGACAGACGGATGGACAGACGGACATGGCGAGCACAATAGTGCATTTTTTCCATAAATGAGAAAATACGCTAAAAAGACGCCTAACAGCTAGTGAACAATAGAAGATACTTATAAATAGTCTCCATATATGGAAATAAAACCAATGTTATTAAGAAGGATTGCTAACTTCGGTTAAATACAATACGATTAATCCTCTTTCAAACAGAGCGCAATTGTTCTTCTTTCTTCATTGCTCAAAAATTTTGAAAAATTCAATCATATAGCATCGGCACGAACCATCCGATGGTTTGGTACGCACACACAGTAAATCGAATTTAATGATAAGTGAGCAAGAAGAGATCAGATTCGAAGGGATTCACTACAACACTACCTAGCAAAGCCAAAAGCTGTAGAGATTTTCTTTTGAAGCCTACCAAAGAAAATTAAGTAGCATTTTTGTGTCGAATTGGGTTTTTAAATTATTGATGAAGTTTTAATATTTGAAATTGATGTTAATTACATATAACATTTAAAATTTCGCGGTATATGATGCATTAAAATCTCAAAAGTAACAGAAGGAAAATAATCAATCAGCCTAGTAAGCCTGTTTTCGATTTTTTCAAAACCTTACACAAACGGTGGAGGGAAAACTGATTAAAAAAATGCATGGAAAATTATAGAATTTTGATTGAATTAATTAAAATAAATTCCTAGGAAACATTTCAAATCACGCACACTAAGATTGAGGAACTATATATAAATTAATGCATATCATTTACGTATACATGACGAAAAAAATACTTAAACGTAAAGTTAAATTTTCTTTATTTTCTGATAAAATGCGAGCCTGGCGTAATTGGTTCAGATGTCAAATGCAATACCTTTAACTCCTACGACGTGCTGCACGGAGCTTTCATTTGCTACGTTAATAAAAGTTTACTCTAAAAAAATTCACGAAAAGCCATTATAGAAGCGTAATAATTTATTCCTAAGCAACAAGCACGGGATAAAATTTCCTCAGCATTATTATCTTTTGCTAACAAAATTCGGTTTTTATTAATGTAGACGAGCTTCGCTTGACAAAAATATATAGTCGTGGTTATGAAGCGGACTTTGATAATTAGCTTAATCTCCCTGAACATAAAGCCAGGAGATGACATAAAATAAGAATAAACTTGAGAAATAAAATCTTCAAGATTTGCCACATGACATTTCTTTTTTCTGCACAGAGTGGCATGAGCAAATCGAACGCGCAGAGCGAATGACCAATTTTTTCGCTTACGTACGAAAATCAGGATTCGCGTTCAAATCATAACCCTTAAGACGGCATAAAATCATGTAAGGTACCTTGACTTCAAACTTATTTGGGCAGCAATTCGAAATAGCGAAATGATCTGAAGCATTAGGAGGACAACTTGCACTAAAGCCTCTTGGAAGATGGACTCGAAATTTAGTTCAAGCAGACAGTGACTAAGAAGTTCATTTTTTCTTACTTTTTCATTCAATTTCATAATCAATATTAGTTAGACAGTGAATAGTGTGAAAATAAAATTAAAGTTTCCATCGATGAAAATTTACGGTGGACAAATATTACTAACTGAATTTATTCAATTGCTAAGAATTTCAGGAAATTTTTCACATTTTTGACTCACTAAAGTCACACACAAAGTAATTTTGTAGTCGTAAAGCACGGCCACTCAAGACCATCAAAGAGCAGCAGCGCTTTACATGTATTCTCTAGAGACGCACCGGCGCTTGTGAGTAACGAGAAGTAATGTTCAGAGGGCGATCCCTCAGTCTGCTGGACAAGTCTGCTGCTACAAGATGCTTTCTGCGAGGCAAGTGTTGAGGTCCAGTGTGAAGCATACACATGTAAGTGTGTGTTTCACACTTTTATACTGTAATGCATACTTTGTCCTATACTTAGCAGTGTTTGTTTGGCCCATGTATACAGTGATATATACTGCTTCAGCAGTGTTTGTTTGGCCCATGTATACAGTGATATATACTGCTTCAGCAGTGTTTGTTTGGCCCATGTATGCAGTGATACGTATATACTGCTTCAGCAGTGTTTGTTTAACCTTTGTATGATGTAAAGAAAACGGCTGCAGCAGCCTTCATGTTTCCCAGGTAAGCGCCATTGAATGAATCGGTAGATTTTCATCAGCATCTTGCATTTATTTGTCAAAGTTTGTCAGCGAATTTGAATTCCGGCAAATTTATAAAGGCTGTTTTTTGGGCGCGTATTAACGACACATATCGTGTTAGGATATTAACAGTATCTGAAAATTTATTCTAAGTGAGAGAATAGGAAGGCATTGTAAAAGTGGGAGGAAAGGATTGCACTATCAAAATTTTATTTAGAAATTGGTGCTTATAAATTTTCTTCAAAAGATGCA